TGTTGGGTTGGTTTCGACAAAATCCCTTGACTTCTGTTTATCTGGGAATGTTTTATACCTTCATGTTTGATTCACAGCTTTGCTGGGTAGATGATTCTTGGTTGGCCATTTTTTTTCTTTCAGGATATATATATATGTCTCTCCATTTCCTTATTGCCTGAATAGTTTCTGCTGAGAAATTAGAGCTTAATCTGATTTTCTTGTCTTTGTAAGTAATGCTTTTTTCCGTTGCTGCTTTCAGGATTCCCTCCTTGTCTTTGATTTTGGAGATCTTGATTTTGATATGTCTTGGTGATTTTCTTTTGGGGTCTATCCTTCCTGGGGTTCATTTAGCTTCTTGAATGCTTCTATTTTCATTTATCAGAATGTTAGGAAAAATTTCTTCCACCTTTTCAATTCTATTTCTTTGCCCTTTCAATGTATTTTACGTTTTTGATATTTTATTATAAGTAATTTGGACCTCTTTTACAGTTTTTGAATTGTTTCCAGTGCTATGTCTATCTTACTTGATTTTTCTTGTAGCACTTTCTTGACTTCTTTCTTATTTTTCTCAACCCCTCTGTGGAGTGTTTGAATGCATCTCAATATCATTCTTCTGAATTCCCTCTGAGGAAGTTCAAAAGCCTGCCTTCCTTCCAATTGGAAGTCTGGGTCTACCTCTAGCTCATTTGTCTCTTTTACTATATCTTATTTCTGGACATGTGCCAAAATGGTCAGTTTTTTCTTGGGCATCTTCAATAATTAGGTGTGTTTTCAATAATTAGATGTATGTATGCTGATGTATTACTGAGCTTTCTGTTTGCCTTCAGGTAGATATGATCAAGAGATGGGCTTTATTTTTCACTTTTCTTATTACTCAGCTCAGAGTAACTATAGCAATTGTTGGCTGTTTATCTAGTGTATAGTTGCTGATATAGGCTCTTGCATGGATAGAGAAACTTTATAGGTGGAGATTGCAGCTTGGTTATATGACCATAATTGCTGTCTCTTCCTGGGTAATGTAAGGAAAAGAGGCCCCAAATGTGAAAAGGGTACCAATAATCAAAACAGAAACAGCTTAAATAAAAAGAGATTTGATACTACAGTCTATAATCACATAAAAGAAAATAGAAAAAATATTTGTAGCAAAATATAAGTATGAATTTAACACCCCTCTTTCGGCTTCTTCCCTTCAAGTCCATCTAAGAAACTTCAAGATGTTACTTTTGTCTTTATGTCATACTCAGGATTTAATTTTAACCTGTTTCCTTTTCAGTCTTTCTCTCTCCCACTCCCCAACACCTGCCAAAGATTTTTCTTAATGATAAACAGTTTAGGGCCTGCTTTAGCCATTTGGGGGCACCATTCGGTTTTAAGCAGTGCCTTCACCCTTCCTAGATATTGTGCACAGTGTTCTTTGATGAGTAAATCTGTGTGCATGCATAGTAGAACCTTCTGGGGGTGAGCAAGTGTCCACTCACTCAGGCAACCCCTCTAGTCACCAGAGTGGATGTTTGCAGACAGGACGAGACCAATGAACAGATTTTTTAAAAAAGAATGTCCATGCCTTTATTTCCGAGGATCGGTCAGACACCTGCATGGGAGTACTACTGTGACCTGTCACCTGCTCTGTCACACCCAGATGGCCGCTCCAGGAGCCGGCTGTCTGCTGAAGATCAGAAAATACCAGTTTTCTTTCTTCTGATACAAATTCCACTGGTTGTAGGCCTTCAGACTTTCTAAATATTCCTTTATATGTAGTTCTGGGACTGTCCCCTGAACCTGCTTTGTCCAGTATTCTGTGATATTGCTAGCAGAGGTCTGCACTGCACTTCTCCCTAATCTGCCAGCAAGTTCTACCTCCTAGAGTCTCATTTTATTTTAGTGGGAGAGTTAATTTTCATTTTTCAGGAAATCCCAGAAAAGATAGTGGTTGTGATCAGTAATCTGATTTTTTATAGTAATGAAATGGAGAATCATAAAAGAGAATAAATTTGGAATCAAAGAGATGTTACTCTAAGGAAATGGATTCATTAGAAAATAAAATTAGAAGAAAAGTTTTAGTTAATTTTAGAATGCTTGTGACTAATCTTTTTTAGTAAGTGAGAACTTGATATTTATCTCTAAATTTACTGGCTTCTTCAGGACTGGGAACTCTGGTGAAGACCTATGTGGATGCCATCAACAGTGGAGCGGTGCCTTGTTTGGAGAATGCAGTAACAACCCTGGCCCAGCGTGAGAACTTGGTAGCTGTGCAGAGGGCAACTGACCACTACAGTCAGCAGATGGCTCAGCGTGTGAGGTTTCCCACAGAGACGCTTCAGGAGCTGCTGGATGTCCATGCAACCTGTGAGAGGGAATCCATTGCAATCTTCCTGGAGCACTCATTCAAGGATGAAAATCATGAATTCTGCAAAAAACTTATGGTACATCCCTTAGCATTTATTCTTCCTGATTCCTGTTCTGGAATGATGCGTAGGGTCCTCCTTATGACCTCATGTTTCATATCTTTCATATATTAGACTAGCCTGGTTGGCATGCAGTGAGTAGCAGACCTTTACAGAGGTATCTGCAGTTTATCTCTTTTCTAAAATATGTACACTTCATTTTTTATTTTTCTATACAACAAATTTTTATGAATGTAGCATTCACAAACATATTACTACCTGGTTTTTATTTCAAAAGTTCAGCAAAGAGTGCATGAGTTCTTAGCTCAAGGTTCACAAACTAAAATCAAGATGTTCACTGGTTCTGATTCTTATCTGGAAACGTAAGGTACCCTATTCTACCTTCATGCCAACAATGTTTCATCAAAACCTTCTCTTGTTTCTAGTCTCTCTGACTTTCTTTCATGTCAACAACTGGAAAACTCAACTTAAAAAGAGATCATGTAACTAAGTTATGCCCCGTATCCTACATACTCTTCATTTCTTAAAAGTAAATTAGTACCCTATATATAGCACAACCCATCTTGAAAGTAAAATCCATTGTATTCAAGGTCTCAAGGGCTATAAAAGATGGGGACACCGATATGTTGGGAAACATCTTCATTCTGCTTACACATAGGCACCTTCACTGAAAGCTTGTCTTTCTGTCTATATTTTGTCTAGAAGTGCAAAAATCTTACTTTATATCGAGTAAAACGATTTTGATTATAATTTATAAGGGAAAGGAAAAAAGTTCTGTTGGTATATCTTTTCATACTCAATTCCTAATGGAGAGAATTCATGAAGGCTTTTAAAATATATTTCAGAGTACATTTAAGTCATTACTGTGTAGATTTGCTTTTTCTGGTTTATGTTTCCATCCATAGCACTACAGGTTCTCTGAGAAAACTTTCCTTCCAACCAAATTGACTTTTATACTACTCAGTGCAATATGTGGATCACTTATAAGCACAGTATACAACAAAAACAGTCATAGAGTTTATGCCATACCCTTTCCCCATCATTTTATATATGATGAACTTGATCTGTGTCTACCACAAGTCTCCTTACTCCTTTCTGTGACTGTCAGTATGCGTCTTTGGAAAGAACCACAATTGGACCATCCCTTCTAAGATATTCTTTCTATTGTGTATCTCTACATTTCTCTGAAGGAAACCATTGTAAAAATGCGGGAGGACTTTGTGCTGCAGAATGACGAGGCATCTGTGAAATACTGTGAAGCAGAGCTGCAGCAGTTGTCAAAACCCCTGATGCAAAGCATTTCGGGAGGAATTTTCTCTGTTCCAGGAGGACACAATCTCTATTTAGAAGCAAGGAAAAAGGTTGAAGAAGACTATGCCCAAGTGCCCAGGAAAGGAGTTAAGGTGAGGAATAAGGGAAGTGGAGGGAAGCCCAACCAAAAAGAATCAGGGGGCATTTAATCTTCTGAAAATCTTAGATCACTTCACTAATGTTGTTAAGTGCTGTTGAGTCAGTTCTAGCACATTGTGAGCCTGTATAGGATTTCTGAGGAGCAGCTGGTGGGTTTGAAACACCAATCTTGTAGTTAGTAGCTCGGAACTTTTCATAAAACACCACACTAGCACTAGTACCAGTTGTGCTGAGAACACATAGTGATTTCTTCACATATTCTGATTTATATCCACAATTATTTAGATACTCTAGAAGAAACCACACATATGTATTCCCAAAGAAAGGAATTAGAACTAATAATGAGATAGATGAAATATTTCTTTCATTTTTCAAACAATGTGATCATTTTGTACAAAGTGCCAAAAATCATACAAAATTCTCTGTAGTTGAATCAGTTTATTGTAATCCCATGTGTGTCAGAGAAAAAATTCTACATAGGGTTTTCAAATGAATAAGATCTTTTAGAAGTAGAGCACTAGACTTTTCTTTCAAGGCACCTTTGGATAGATTTGAATTGTCATCCATATTGCTCTTTGCTTAGCAATCAAATGCTTAACTGTGTATGCCATTGGAAGATTATGTATAAAGTATGTTATTATTAAGTCCAATGAGTTGATTCTTACTCATAGTATGCCTATATAGGCTTTTAAAGGAGTGATTGGTGAGATTGAACCACCGATCTTGTCGGTCAAATCAACTTTAACCCACAGCACCACATCAGGACACTGTGTATTAAGTATAGTTGATATAATATTAAAGAAACAGCATTTGTTCTCAAGAAGCTAATGATCATTTTGAATTGAGTAACAGTCGTTTAGATATGGTGTGATTAGGGTCATTATAACGTTGTTCACAACTATTAACAAGAGTGATGATGATGATAATTATAATGACTAACATATATTGAGCACGCACTCTTTTTACTGGACTGTCTTGCATGTTTTTGTTGCATTCTAATACAATTCTCAGAGTAACAGTGTTCTCAGAAGATATAATTATTTAAGTGCCATCAAGTTGGTTGTGACTCATAGTAACACTGTATAGAGTGCCTAGTGGGTTTGAACCACCACCTTGAAATTCAAACTGACCTTGAGGTCTAGTGCTTATCTTACAGAGCCACATCAGAATTCTCTCAGAATATATATATTCAAAGAGCTCTGGTAGCATAATGGTTACAAATTGGGCTGCTAAACTCAAGGTCGGCAATTCAAAACTACCAGTTGTTCTGTGGGAGAAAGATGAGGCGTTCTGCTCCCATAAAGATTTACAGCCACGGAAACCCTGTGCAGGGTCACTATGAGTCAAACTGACTCCACAATACTTAGCAACAACAACATATATAT